AGAAAACACTTGTTTGTTTCTCGTTGTTGACATGACAATCATTCAGGCATGTGGAGATATAACAGTTGCTAAGAGGGATTGAAATAAATACAAACATGTTAGATTGTGTATGCAGACTGTAAATATCTTTTAAGTAAAAATCAATACAGTGCTTTTGAGAATCAATACAGTATTACTAAACACAATATTTCGAAACATTTCCTATGAAATACTTGCAGAAATATGTGAATGGAAACACGGCTTGTGTAGCATCCATGTTTAATTCAGTGTCAGGTCATTGTTGGTATATTAACATGTAGGGTCATTTCCGGACTTGGAGTTAATTGTGGTTAAAGAGTCCATCCTGGTGCTGATCTGCTGGTGCGTGTTTGCAAACTGGACCCATGTCAGTCTGACTTCTGAACATCGAAAATTCCTTTAACAGAAATCCAAATACATTAATTTGGGATTTAATACACCAATCCCAGATTAACACACACACACACACACACACACACACACACACACACACACACACACACACACACACACCACACACACACACACACACACACACACACACACACACACACACACAGCAGGATGCTACATTGAAACTACACCCTCCATGCAGTGAATGGTACCAGGTCAGCGGTGGCTTATCAGAGCTCAGAGCTGGTGAATGGCTTTATTGGGAAAAGCTTGCGGAGGGAAACATGCATGCATTATTTATCTTCCCTATCACACTTTTAACACACATACAAACACACACACACACACACACACACACACACTCACACGCAGCCTACTGAGTGTTTTAGTGTCACAAATGACAGAGAAAGTGTGTGTTCATTTCCAGTATGTGTGCACTTTCTATTTGCTCTTTTATGTACTGTACACAGGAGTACATATAGGACATCAGCATGACGTGTGTGTGTGTGTGTGTGTGTGTGTGTGTGTGTGTGTGTGTGTGTGTGTGTGTGTGTGTGTGTGTGTGTGTGTGTGTGTGTGTGTGTGTGTGTGTGTGTGTGTGTGTGTGTGTGTGTGTGTGTTGGTGGATTCCCAGAGGGAGGTGTGTGAGGGAGGAAGATGCTAAGAGCTCTGCTTTAATGCACTTTGATTTGAGTTGATGAACAGAAAGGTTGTGCTTTTTTCTCTTCAATTCTGCACGTGCACATAAACACACACACACACACACACACACACACACACACACACACACACACACACACACACACACACACACACACACACACACACACACACACACACACACACACACACACACACACACACACACGTCTTGCTTATCTTCCTCTAATACTCCCTCTCCTCATCTCTTTTCTCTCGTATGCACAATCACACACAAACACACTCACTAACACACACACTTACACATCTGTATCCACTGCTCTGGGAAGCCATTAGTGTGACCCAGCCTGGATTACTTATTTATGGGCCCAACAGAGGAAAGTGAGGGAGTGGAGTACCAGGGGGCCTCATCTATAACACTGTTGTTTGACTTCCCCCAGATCAACTACACTTGATGTTATCTTTTCTTACAATGTCAGCAAAAAAAACAATTGAGTTACATCCACAAAAAAGGGTTAATTACTGGGGATCTATGGGAGACTATGTGGAGATCTTATATCTTGGTCTAGATGTTATTAGCCTAGTGAAGTAGTTGTGAGATGGAAGGAGTTATTTCAGGTGTCCAGGTTGCTAACACATCGTTGGGTGACTGATTTTGAATACAAAATATGAAACAGTCTTAAGGCTGAAGCAGAATGGATTAGCAATATGAAAATGCAAAATATTTGACAAAGAAAATACACTGTGTAAACAGTTGTGCAATATGCCTATGGCTTTTATTGTAAAAAGTAATAAAATGGGTGGATCTGGTTTGGGCAGCCTTGATGTTAAAAAGTTATTTTTGGACTACAGAGCCTCTGTGTTTCTGAAAGCCAAGAACAATCCAACTTGCTGCGTGATATTCGCTTGTGATTCTCTGTGAAAGTAAAATGACCAAAATAACAGTTAGATAAAATATGTTGTGAATTAATTGCAAGAAAACTTGCCCCTGTTTTTGTAAGCGCCCCAGACATAGATTTTCACTTTGATTATTGAGTGCCATTTTGGAGTCTTGTGACAACTTCCTATGATTTTCCCTCTCTGTGTGCTAGCTATGCAAACTCAGAGACAGTTTTTGGCAGGATGCACTACCTTTGCTCACTTTTTACTCACAGGAAATATTTTTCAAGGAAAACGTTTATTTAGCAAGTTGTTGTCTATGTTTCCTTGTCTAAAGACCCATGCAAGTTAGGCCTCTGATGTGATAAAATGACTGTTTTACCCATTGGTTACCCTTGTGTTTGACCCCTTATATTCTAAATAACAAGCAGAAGATATGACTTGTTGATGTTGAAGCTTTGGAGGTAGACTGGGAAACAAAAGTAATGGGTAATTTGTTATTATTAACTGGTTATCTCCTGCATAAATTGTATTCTTCACAACCAAAACACAACAAAATGTCTTTCACTTACAATTGAACAAATGGGGAAATTTGGCAACGCCCTCTCAGGAAATAGTGGGAGGGCTTTAATCTCCCAGCCACTGGTAAACGCTGGGTTTTTGGTTGGAATCCGCTGGGTGGAGTCCTATCTGGAGTGCTACATCTGTATATGAATGCATGACAAAAATAGTGATTGTATGGATCGAGTGCATATCAAATCAGTCAACACACACATTGTTTTCTGTTTGGAAACTCCTTTTTATTGGTTCATCTTTAGCCAGGAGGATAGCAGCAGCCACACCACACAGAGAGGAACAAATCAACCAAATCAAAAGACACACACTTCATCTCCTCTGACCACTGGAAATAAATACTTCATTCACCAAAATCATCCTTGTGATTATTGTTACCGCTATTGTTGCAACCATTTAAATAAATACCCATGAAGCAGTTATCAGCAATGAAACAGAAAGTGTGAAATGCATATTGTTCCATATATAATATATTCATTTTAGATAGATTTCTATATATATTTGTTCCATATACTCTCCTTAAATTCTTTTACAACATACAAGATGCCAATTTGTACCAAAAGCAAGGCTTGCTAAGACACGAGAGGAGAAGTTGAGCCTGCGTACGTACAGCGTCAGACAGCTTCCCCACGTGAGCTCCGGTTCAGAGGAAGGAATATCAGAAACGTTTGGAAATGTTTGGGAGATCTGGGAAATAAAATATCTATATTCGTACTTATGGATACACACGGCATAGGGTGCGTCTCACTTCGGTTATTTTTCATTTCCTCGCTCCTCGGGCTCGGTATCACCGGAAGTTGATTTGTCTGCGCCATCTTGAGTACCGTCCCAGTGGTCTTATTTTTGCCGGTGGACCGAGGAGCGAGGATCGAGGAGCGATAACGGAGGAGCGATAATCGAGGAACTACCAGACCATCCTCCGGTGAAATCCTCAGACACTCGCCCCGCCCCCTTACTGTGTATCGCTCACTGATTGGACGATACAGCGCATGCACTGATCTGGCTGCTGTCAGACGATCAGCGCATGCGGCGTCATCACAAACGGACGTCGCTTCACGTGACGCTCCGGAGGAAACAACGTCCTATTGCTCTTAAAACTAATTTCCCTGCTTCTCGTGGTTTCCTTGCGTCTCTCCATGCTTCCCTGGTGGGAGGGACTAGTCACAGGGAAACGACGCAAGTGAGGGACGCAAGGAATCCATTTAACCGAAGTGAGATTAGGTGTGCAAGTTGCACCCTGGGTAATAACAGCCATGAAAGAAATGTGTTTTGCTTTTGAGAAATTAAATAAAAAGTCTCATTCCTTGTAATAGTTGCAACAGCTGGCCTTCTTTTAAAAAAATCCATTATTTTGTTTAATTCCTTGATGCCACATGCAACTTTCTTCTGCCATAACCTACCTCTCTAACAGTCTCATCAGGACCTTTCTGAAACGTTTAAAATCAGGTGCTGATGATAAACACTGCGTTTTTAAATGTATTAATTGGAATCTATGCCGCCTCTTCTTTTAGAAATGTTAATATCTGAAGACACGCAATTCAGATAAAATACAGTAGAAAACGACTTAAAAATGAACTCTTGATCAAATCTTCCAATTTAAAATCAGAATAGTTTGAGGGTGTCTTGTACCCCACAATGCACTGCTTGCGCCACACTGTGTGTATCCATAGCACATTCAAAACATGTCTTTATAAAGAGGTTATGATTGGACAATTGTCACGGTAAATATTTTAACGCTACTTTGAACACAGATGAAACATCGGTTGTTAAAAAAAGGTGAAGTTTCCTCTGTAAACACATCCAGTTCAGACAGAAAACAATCCGGGTAGAAATCAAAGTTCCTCTAGTCGTCTCCCAAGCACCAAGATCCGAAGTCATCCCACCTCATGTAGTGGCGACCATGTGTGTGTTTGTGTGTGTGCGGCCATGACATTAGAAAAAAACATAATATTCAAAGTTTTCTGTTCACGTTTTTGTTCCCAAGCACCACAAAAATATGTTTGTTACCAACACAATCTGCACATGGCTGCTTTTGGAGTGTCATTCATAAAACATGCAGGTGAGAAATCGCTGTTGAAATATAAAAAAAAAATGGTTCCCATGACGAGCTGACATCTGCAGTTTCGAAAATGGGAGAAAACTGTTTTCAAATCAGCATTAATGTGGACGTAATGCCAACCTGGTGTCATAGATCAAGATTTTTGGTTTGCCAATAATTTGAAAAAATAGTAATACAAATAGGCGCTTTCACACCGCAGTACTTTTCCCACAAAGGTTCATCAGAACTTGTTGCCATAAATTAATCTCTCTCCGTTTGTGCGCTGGGCGAATGCTAATGCTAATAATGCTAATGCGAGGATAATAAAATGGCGGCTTCACAAAACTTTTTGGGAGTTTTACGGGGCGTGGTTTGCAATCCGCCCAGCCAATCAGACATAGGAACCTTTTTCTCCCACGAAAGTACCTGCTCACTAGCAGGGACGGAAAAGGGGGTGAAAAGGTTAATTAAATAATTTCTAGTTCTGGATTTTTTTGGTGTGAACGCAACATTTCGGAACTAAAGTGGGAAAAGTACTGCGGTGTGAACGCGCCAATGGAGAAAGTTGCAACATTTAAAAATAATAAAAGCCAAAGTAAAACTGAGTGTGTCCTCCACAGTTTGCCAACCTGTCCATCAAAGTGAATCCAGTGGGAACAGAAACATGGGGGGGGGGGGACATGTCTTACCACTGTTAATGAAGTCATGCTTATTGTTTTACCCACTTTCTGATGATGTTAGACCAATGAGAAATAGTCATTTTTGAGAATTTTTATAATTTAGGTGGCCATATTGTGACTGATCAGTTTAGTTGGCCAGGATAAGGAACAGAGATCAGAGCTTCTGTTTCAAATAGGTTCAAATCGAGCCGTTATACTGAGCTATACTATGTGGGATGTGGTAATAAAATGATGCTATAGTTTTTGTTTGCTGTCAGGGTCACCCATAAAGTTCATGAATTGATCACGAGTGGACAGTAAATAAGTAAATCTTCAATAAAATGGAAAAAACAGCCATAATAATATCAATCTCATAGAAACAAAATATAGCAGAATAAAAATAGTTATACAGTTAATAGCCCATATTTACATATAAAAATATAGCAAAGTAACATTTAACAAATCGGGTTGTTCTCTGCATAGGTGACACACCCTGACACACACACACACACATACACACACACACACACACACACACAGAGAAAAGCCCATATACATCCAAACTCACACACACGCTTGAAAACATGTATGTGCACACACACGCAAACACCTGCCGCTGTGTGTTGTTTTTATCAGCTTGTCCTTCCTAGAAGAGCCATGCACTGATGTCGCATTTACACTTTACATTACATTTCAACTGTGTACCTGAAGTGCTGAAGAAGAAGCGACAATTTCAACCTAAAAAATATCATTTTTATCGAGCATGCATGGTCTCCGTCTGTCTTACTGGCGACGTCAACATCCTCTTTTGGTTCCCTTTATCCGACCTCTTTCTCCTTCCTGCCAGCCTCCCTCTCTCCCCATCAGCTGTCCATCTGCCAAACACCACAACTCCACTCATCCTGTCCCCTCACTTCACTCCCCTCCCACGCTCCATTCTTCTCCGGCCCATTAAGAGCTATCATGAAGCTAATTGCCTGTTTGATCAACTCTCCATGGACCAGGAACTGGAGGCTTTTAGCCCTCAGAGCGTAAGAGGAGAGACGGACGAGGCAGGAGGGATGTGAGGGTGTGTGGGGGAAAATACGCCTCTTATCAGCTGGCTATAGCTGGTTGGGATAGGTTGTAATTGTATTTATTTTTATGTTGTACCATTTTAAAAGCTCCTTAACTTGTTATTTCTCCTATCGGCATATTAGTTGGAGCAACGGATTTTTCTTAGGTCTTAGTGGCTTAGAAGTCTTAGAACACCCAACACTTTTATACGCTAGTTTGTAATGCTTAAAAGCTAAGCTAATCTTACTTAAGCACACTTGTTTACTCCTAACTCAGCCTTTTATCTGGATCGTTTGGCAACAATTCAATGTTCATTTCCTGAAACTAAGAAACAAAGTGTTGCAGTTAGCTTCAAATGAGCCCTTTATATCTTCATGTGGTCTGGGTCGGCCGCCATATTTCTTCAGTAGCTCAGAACGAAAAATCTATACTTGGTTTTACATTTCCTGAAGGCAACCGTAGTTCTCCGACTCATTTAAAAGGAATGGTTAATATATAGGGTATTCTGTTTGTTGCAACACTAAATCCTACTGTTCTTTAGAGAAGAAGTGAATATGGCCCCTGAATTAAAATCTTGGCAATCCTGAGAACAGCTTTGGTTTAGTTGAGAGTTTAAAAAAATCCTCTGGAAACGGAACATTGGTTTAGTTTGAGTACAAATAAAGTTGTCCCTTTGCAAACATTACTCTTGCATTGGAAATGATTTACTGTATGTCCATGATGGCAGGATTGGTGTTGTGTCGTTGTGAGTCGAGGAACTAAATCTTCTGTTTTCCCACCGTAAGATCATTCTGGATTAAGGTAACTGACTGCCTGAATTACAACAAGACACACAGATGGTTCTGAGAAAAGAGGATTTGGTTCTAGGATGGGAGGAAAGTGGATTAAATGGCCGTGGAGGAGAGAGGGATGGAGGCGGGGGGGGGGCAGTGACGGAGGTCGGTCAGAGGAGGGAGGTTGGCGACAGACTGACTTTGTGCAGAAACCCGACCAGACCCTCAGAGCTCCACTGAAGCAGCGCTGCTAAAAATAAGACAAGGGAGGCTTCTTCTGCTGACAAAACAACATACACACAGCTTCTACATACACAGGTTGTACTGTAGGAGAACACACACTCAAACACACACAAACACACACTCGCTCGCGCTGCCTAGTGACAATGAATGCACCCTCCCTCCGGTTAAATAATCCCCTTTCAGCTCTTGGCTGCCGGGGTAAACATTGTCCATCTACCTCACAGTGCTTTTCCTTTACAAATAAGCTTAATAGCATTGAAATACTCTCAGTTCGTACAGTGCATGGTCCCTTTTTGGTGTCTAACTGTTGTTACAAGTGTCTTTGTTCTCACTTTATGCCTCGGTGCTTTGCTAAGAGTCCCAGTAAGATATGCACTGCGGCACAACATTTATTTATTCAACCTTTTGTGGAGTTTTCTGACAGTCATTGTGTTCTAAGTCCTCAATCTCCCATGCTTCTTCTGACTCTCTTTTCTAGAGGACAGAAACTCTGTTGGCATCGACCATACACGTCGCCGCAGGCGTCTTTCCTTCCTGATTTGGTCCATTGCCTGCCTCTGCGCGTTCTCTTTGCAGAGGGTAGGGAGGAAGGAGGTTCAACAATAAATAAATAGATTTTAATGTCCCGATTAAACCACAGAATGTGGAGATTTCTGTCAGGAAGTCTTGGATAAGGCTGAAGGGCTGTCCAGCAAAGCCCAACACCTATCTCTTCTTCGGGTTTTTTTGTTTTTAGGCTTGACGTCTCCAACATGAACAGGCACAGTAAAGCTTTGGTCCCTCCTGAGCTGGAGATGAAGTAAATCAAGGTACATTAGGTGAAGACTTTGCGGTTAGTTGATTGGTTAGTTGGTTGGTTGGCTTGCCGTATGTAGGTAGGTGGGTCACGATGGCATTGTCGTCACAATGTCAGCTGTGGCATTGTTGATTGGCGACAGCGTTGCTTTGGCGACGGCTTAGGGGAAATGGATTTACAAGGCCCCCATCCAGGCCTGTCATAACGGCTTTTCCAGGGCCTTGCTGCGGAGCGAGGGGTGACCGGGGTTAGGGTTAGAGGCGGAAATCTTGCGGCACACGGTGTTGGTGTTGCTGCACCTACAGCCGGGGCGGGTGCTGCGGTCATGGGCACACTGGCACAGGGCAAGGCACAGCCGGGCAGGGGGGTAGCAGCAGAGGCAGGGCAGGCATAGCGCTAACAGCCCCATGGTGCTCCAGCGGGAACAAGCGTGAGCTGGAGCGCAGGAGCAAGGCCGGTCGGCGCAGTTATCCTCGTCGTCCTGGGCGGAGCAGTGGTAGAAGAGGGCTTTAACGCAGCACAGGCAGGTCCCGTACTCCACCGCGCTTTCAGCCGAGCACAGGCAGCGCTGCCCGCAGGCCCAACAGGAGGGCAGGCGGCGGGGCGCGCAGCACTCTCTGCACTTACAGCGACCGCACCGCTCACAGATGAACAAGTGAAGGCCCAGCTCAGCCTCGTCTTCCGTCAGGCCTTTACCGAAGGAAACATCGGCTTTGAGTTCTCCTTTGGGCTGAGATCGGACCACCGAAGCGAGGCCAGAGTGAGACGGTGTCAAACCTGCCAGGAGCCGCTGGTCTGAGTTGGCACTGGTCCGAGACATGGAAGAGCTTATGGTACTGGAACGACTTAAGTGGGCGAAGTGAGCGTGCTGCTGCTGACTTTGGCTGCGGGGCAGGGCCTGGTTGAAGGAAGGCTGGGGGTAGTGGGGGTAAACTCCATGAGTGTAGCGTTCTTCATGGGCATAGAAAAAGCCAGACCCGGTTGCTGGTTCCAGCGCCACGGGCCTTTCCACATAGTCATTGTTGGCCCTTATGGCACGTATCTGGTCGAGGGACAGAACCTGCTGGAGGTCCATGCTGTCCAGCTCCATCCTGAAGGAGTGGGGGGGGTCCATCCTGCAGGGGGGCTGGGGCACGCTGCTCCCAACACTCACGGCACATCAGATAAACCTGCAGACAAACAGCAAGGGAAGCGTGTTAGGGATTATGTATTTACCTTTGAATCAGAACCTTTTCATATACAGGTGTTCATTTAGGCATCTATTCCCTCTACACATTACTTGATGCATGAACCAATTTCGATAACTGTTTTCCATGTGACATTTTCCTGCTTTTAACAGATATGCTGATGCATGGGAATTTATGTTTTTAACTAGAAGAAAAATAAAATATATATATATCATTGGGGCTTTTGGAATCAGTTATTTTCACAATTTTCTGACATTTCCAAAACCAAACAATCCATTAATAGAGAAAAGTATTAGTTGCAGCCATACACCAAACAGGAACACTGAACACATAGAGGTTCAACCCTTTAAATGTTCACTTTTTTTAGAGAAAAGTGTAGTCCAAACACCACAAATGGCCAACCTATTACTTTCCAAAAATCAGCAGCACATGAATAAAGATGGAATTTGGCAGCACAGCTTCCACACAACCACCAGCTACAGGCACACTGAGGTTCTCCGCTGCTCAGAGAAACGCTATGATTAGCCTGCCAGAACCAGAGAGATACGACCATGAGGTCCACACTGTAATTTAGCATCTGTTGAACACAGCTGCTGCTGCCATGGAGGAAACCCACCTGCACACAGAGAGCCTCAGAAAGACCATAGAGGAACTGTAAAGTCACAGGATTAGGTCCTAACCAAATCCTCATAAATCAACAGATGTGTTAGAACGAGTGCAGATTTCCTTAGAGGTCTTATATGTATTTGTATCAATGCCATTCAGCAAAAATAAACATTGAAAAGGTACTTCATTCAAGATAACAGCAGCTATACGAAGTGCACTTTTGTCTTTGGTTAAAACAAATCAGCAGCCATGGTTTCATGTTGAAGACAATACAGGAAATGCCTTAAAACATGGATTCCTCAATAGCTACCAAAATCTGCCTTAAAATCAAGAAATCAACTTTTTGGGTGAAATGTTTTCATTAGAAAGTTTGCATTGTTTGTAGAAAGATGAGATGGATTTTGTTGTATTTTCAGAATAAATAAAACTCAACAAATCTGAAATCTCACAGACAAAGACATCTCGAAAACGTAAAGTGTCTGCATTGGTACTCTTCAAAGGCTAACGAGAACAACGTTGGAAAAAATGTAGTTATGTTAAAAGCTAACTATTGCACTTAATGTCCCCCTATATGAAAATAATAGGTGGAATATACACATGATTTGCTTTCTGCATGAGATTATATCTTAGTGCATTTTGTACTCATTTAAATGTTTGGTAGGGATTGCAACTAAATGCATGAAAGCTCAATCAAAACTGCTTAGGAGTGCATAAGCAAAAAACATTTAATTTAATTCTTTTTAAAAGGGTCCACATCTAGTCAAGTAGGCAGCTGATTTGATTCCCTGCTCAGACATCAGATGAGCCCTGAATGAAAGAGAGAAAAAATAATGTGTGTGTAATTTAAAATCATTACAAACTCCTCTCATGCGAAATGCAAACATATTGTACACTCCTGCACACACACATCCATCCAGGCTCATGTATACATACACACAGTGCAGCCCTGCCAAGTGGCCGAGGGGGAGAGAGAGAGAGAGCTGGCTTTCTCCTCACATGGTGCCCGTCCTCTCGGAGAGTAATGAGGCCAAATGGAAATGCATTAAAAGCAGCTCAGATCATGAGATTAGATGGAGGAGGAGGTAAGAGGGAGCAGAGGCAAGTAACCATTTTAGGCCACTTGAATACAGATACATTCATAATACGCTGTTAATGTATCAAAGACTTCCTGCCCAGACTAATGTTTCTCCTGCCAGACACTTTTAAATCTATATTGTTTAGTTCAAAGGTGGTCATCTCGTATCAAAGCTGTGTCCAACATGTTTTCAACTTTCCGGATCCGAAAATTCTCAAGCTGAGATCGGCCAGGTGTGTGGATGTCTTTTAAAGTGGCCCTATTATGCTCATTTTCGGGGGTCCTATGGAGTTCTGTAGCCTTTGCAGACCATTTACATGCACAAAAACCTGTATAACACACTATAATGTAGGAGAGGGAAAACCCTAAAAAGCATAATACTGTAGGGCTGCTTTATGTGTGGCTGTTCTGAATAGCTATAAGCTATTTTGCCTTCAGACATCAAACAAACTCGTTTTTTTTCAATCATAGCTTTGCCTTAAGACAACTTTTAGCCAGTTGATGTTATCCCTTGCTTCCTGTTGAGTTTGATTTGTTGTCCTGCAAAGATGTTTTGAGTAACCAGTAGTTTGCATGTGCAGCAGAGCAGACACTGAAACAAATACCTAAACGTGTCATCAACCCTACAGTATATCCAAAGATGTCTGTATATGTAACAAACCATTTAACAAATGCAAACCAACAACAATTACAAAAATAATGATAGGATGCTTAAGAATCATGTTGTTTTCTTGCCCTGTTGTGTACAGCTAAACAGTTAAAGGGGACCTATCATGCAAAATGCACTTTTGTACGTCTTTTCTACATGAATATGTGTCCCCGGTGTTCCAGGGAACTCACCAAGTGTCAGAAAACACAACCCTCTCTATTTTCCTCCATACCCAAATCTCTAAAAAAGGGGCTGCAACGGATCTGATAAAAACTGATCCAGATTTGAACACTGTCCTGACGTCAGGACGGTGGCGCTACGGCTATTGGGCCAACTCCACCAATCAGGAGGAGACAGCCACGGCCATTGCCGTTCGAAAGCGCTGGAGACGCTGTAGTACATATGCCAGGCCTGTAGATGGTGCTGTTCTCACAGAATCAGCCCTTGCAAAAACAGAGCTAAAAAATGTCAAATTGAGCAAAATGAGGCATGGCTAAAATGCATGATCTGTTTGGTATTTTGAAAAAAAGAAAGTATAAATATGCCTTATATAGGTATGGTCCTACACTATATTATTCAAATATAGCATGATAGGTCCACTTTAAATAGAGAAAGTAGGAAAAGGACAGTGGCCTCAGGAAAGTGCAGTGCAGAAGCAATAAGAGAGGATCTAACAGAAGGGATGGGGGACGTGGATGAAACCCAAGAACGGCAATCCATCACTGGGAGGAAAGAGACGTGATTAGTGAGCCTGACTGTAAAAACAAAAACAAAAACTCTTCCTGTCCTCAAGGCTTTCCAAGGGGAGTTTTGAGCAAAGCCTGGTCACTAAGGTGCTCTACCCTCCAGCATTTCTCTGTGTTTATCTCTCAGAGCTCTCCTTCCAGAGGGCCAGCCACAGAGGAGCAGATAAGGAGGCTCAGGTTGGTTAGATGAGGATGCATTTTCAAATTAGTCCGAGAAGAGAGGAGAAGTCCTGGTGACTAATCTCATCAGGCAGAGCGGTGTCTGCAGCCCGCGCATACTCTGCCCGTCTATCAGTCCATCTAATTGTTAAAAGAAAGAGGCCTTCCGTCCATTTACATGACCTCATGTTTACTTACTGGTTGAGCTGGTCCTTCCCAACAATACTGGAAGTCATGTCAAAAAAGTTTGGGACTATGCAACTAGTAAGGCCAGATGTAGTGGAGCATTCAAGTCAATTCAAGTAATTGAAACATCTATTTTGAAGCTCTAGTTCCACCTTGATATGTAGGTTTTGTTACAGGCCTGCTTTTCGTGATAATTAAAGCGTGTAGCATGGGCTAAAAAAAGAACCCATTAAATGTTTCAGTGGGTCTGACTTAGGGGCAAATACACAAACTGTTTTACTTTTCTTAACTTGGCGAGACATGGCATTTGTGCTGCATTCATGTGCTGTCAAAGTAATCTAAAAACAGTTTTTATATCAACATGTTTAAAATGTCTGAGCAAAAACATATGACACATCTTCTTTTTAGCGTCCATGTCTCCACATTGACATCCTTGGCTAAATGTAGTAATTTGCTTATTTTCTCCATTATGTATTACTGTTAGTTAAATGACTGACCTCGACTGGTGTTGAGGACTGCTATTCTGATCAAAACAAAACTCTTTTGAGCTCCGCAAACTTGTAATTTGCACTTTTGATGTCATTATCTGGCAATTCACAGACCAAATGATTCATAGATTAATTAAAGAAAAGTTGAATTTCAGATAAATCCATTCCTAAAATAATAATTTTGCAGAAGGGAAACATCCATTCAAATAAATTGAATTTTTATGAATGTATAGAAGTTAGTAGTTTGATCAGTGCAATATTTTTACCACAATGTCAAGCAAACACATATAACATTAACGAAGCTGCCGAATACTTAGTAATAAATAAAGTGATTGCAGGGGGGATAAATAAGATGTCTCAGTGGCCCTGACTTAAGCATTATCACATGACCTGAATCGGCTGCAGTGATTGGCTGCACTGAGAGCTCCAGTTGTTTTGGGAGTGTGTGGGGAGTGTCTGTTATCAATCCTCTGGCAACAACAGCTGGCATGAGAGTTGTGTGTGTGTGTGTCAGTGTGTGTGTGTGTGTGTGTGTGTGTGTGTCAGTGTATGTGTTGGAGGATGCTGGGGGGAGAGGCAGGCAGAACCCTCTGCTCTCACATAAGAGTAGAGTAGAGTATTTTAGTTTTACGCCACATGTGTGTTTAATGTTCCTGTGTGGAGTTTTAAACCTGTCGTGGTGCTATGGAGCAGATTGTCTATGATTGGGACCCTGTTTTGTCTGTCACACATAGATGTGCATGATGCGATACACAATCCTACCAACGGTGTCACATTATTCCGCTGATCAACAGGTGGCGGTAACACGCACAGATATGCTGCAATGCGCCAACAAAGTCAGGGTAGAAGAAGTCTGCAAGCGAGTGAACATAGGTGTTTACAATGCTGTATTTTGCTTTAAAAAAAATCCACTCAGCAAATGTTTTATGATCAAGGATACTTAATTGTAAGACCTCGAGGATAGACTTCAAACAATGCGTTTTGGGAAGAAAGACTGACATTTTTTTTATAAACCAAAGTCCACAGCGTTCAATGTGTGTGTGACATCTTACAGTGAAGTGGTGAAGACTACA